TGCTATCTCCTCTGCTTTCTCTCTGTGCGGGACCGCGGTGATGAATGCGTGTTAGCGTCCGCAGGCATATCTGCTGGTGGTGGGAGCCTCCATAGCGACGAAAAGGGCAGCACCCAGTGACTGCCTGTCTCCATGGTGAACTATGAAATCAGCCTGTGGGCTGCTCAGCCCTGAAAGAGGCTGATGTGGGATCAGCTGGTGGCGTGTCAGGCAGCAACATGCTGCAGAAATGCAGCCGCTAACCGATTTATTGAGTTCTCTCCGAAGTTGGAGACTCACGGGTGTGTTTTTTTTATTCCTCTTAAGTGCTATAGGAGATGGTAGCATTCTTAGCTTTTATTGAATTTACTGTAAATCTGTGTACAGTGAATGAAAGTGTAAGATCCAAAACATAAAAAGTAAGGATTAACTTGTAATGATGTGCTTTAAGGTGAAGGAAGGTGCTATTTTGTTTTTGTTTACCTCTATGGTTTTACAATAACTTTAGATGTGTCTACTAATCCTATTTTTTCTCATTCCTGAGACACTCATCTCATTCCTTGTCGTTTCTCATCTCTACATATTTTCTCCTTATCTTAATCCCTTTTTTTTGTTGTTCTCTCTTTCATCAGTTGGGATCTCCCTCATCTCTGATGTCACATTCCCCCGCTATCTTTCTCATTCCTCAGTCTCGCTTCTTTCACTCTCCCACTCCACCGCTGCAGCACGACTTCTTCCTGCTATCTGTCCTCCCATCTCTGTTTTTTGCGTCTGGCGAGTACAGCTTTTGTGGATAATTGATTGGCAGAAGGAGTAGATCGATGCTGGATGCCATGACTGAAAGCTCTCTTATTTCCTCCCTGCGTCTTTCTTTTCTTTATTTTTCTCCTGCCTTTGCTTGTAGGCCTCTCCCTCATTGGAGTACGCTTTGTCTCCTTGAGTTCCTCTCCAAGTGTGAGTGAAAAGAGAAATTCAAAGGGTGGCAGCTGAAAATCCTTATCTTTCTGCAAACTGAAAAACAATATTGAAGAGAGCTGCCTGTGTGCCTTTCCATCACATTTTTATTGTTTCTCATTTCTTTAGTTTCTTTGTTGTGTTTTCCACTCAAAATGGAAACATTTTACAAAAAACGTTGACAGTAATTGTACAACATAGAGTAATATAATTTTCTAAATTGGAGGATTGTTTACTAAGACTAAAGGTATCTCAGCTGTTTTTCAAGTGATGAAAGATATCCACTGTAATTTCCGGTCTACAGAGCGCACCTGATTATAAGCGGCACCCACTAAATAAAAGATAAAAAAACATAAAATTGTACATGTAGAGTCCGCACTTGTGTATAAGACGCGGGTATCCACGTTGTAACGTGAGATATTTACACAGAAAGATTTTTTTTTTTAACTTTTAATGAAATGCGTACCGGTAACATAAACAAATACGTACAGTAAATTTTAATTTTTTTTTCTGAACAGTGACTGTAACACGGCTGGTTAAAAAAAAAAAAAAAAAAAAAAACTACAACCAAAAAAAAAAAACCCTATTAGCCTACCAGGAAGTAATTGATCACTAGCTTCATCTTCCTCCTGTACACCACAGACATAATAATGCTGTGTACTGCGCCCATGAGCTTATGCTGTCCTCGTCATCACGTTCCTCCCCCGCCCTGGGGGCACAACAGGGAGGGGAGATGAGAACAGGTTGTTTCCCCTCTCCCCATTTGACCAAACAAGTTTCATTGGTCAACTCTGACCTGTTCGGTAATTTCATTGGTCAGATTTTTTTAACCTTTATTCAAACAGGTGTTCTCATTGAGTCACGAGGAACCCCCCCCCCCCCCAAGAGCGACGTGTATTGGACAGCTATGTGAGTGTCTGGTTGTGACGAGGCTAAATATTATGGTGGCATGAAGCTTGTTAACCCATCATAAAGTTAGCCGCAGCATTGTATAAGCCGTGGGGTTAAAGCCTGCGAAAAAAGAAACGGCTTATAGTCCGGAAATTACGGTAATTTTGCTCCATCTTTAAAACGCATAATTCTGCTATAACTTTTTTTTTTTTTACATTTAAATTTAGTTTTTGTCATGTCCTTACTCTCAAGCATTTGATGTACATCTAAAACAAATTATCGTTTGGAGTCAGCCTGACTCTAGATGGCCACCACGGCCAATCAACAGTAGCAAACACAAAAAAATATATATCCAGCTCCATCAGTTTCATAGCTGTCAAGTTAAAATCTGGTGTGGTAGTAGCTGAGATCCATCCTCAACAATTACTCTGAGTGTTGACGGATCCTATAAGGTTTTTATTAAAAACTTGGGGAGGCTATGTGGTTGATATGCATTTCAAGGAATGCTTATGTTCATTTTCATCATACGCCCATGAAAAGGCGGATGTTTTATGGTATAGGATCCATCCGCATGTCTTAAACTTTCTCTTGTCCCACCCATAACGTCTGATCCCCTCGAGATAATTTAATAAAACTTCATACATGTATGAATCATCTCTTGGTGGAGTGTTGCATACACTTTTCATCACCCCAGCTCCAAATTCAATGTCACAAATCAAGGTAAAATGTCATGGTCCTTGCTCTTCACGGTCATTGCTATAGATTGCTGTATAATAGTTTGTAGACAGACGTATAATGTGCCGTATGAGGTTAGAAAATCTATTGAAGTAATTGAGCATTGCTCTCAGCTTTTGTGTTTTCTGTGTGTCCCTGATTACAGGTTTGTTTAGTGACATGTTTGGCTCTCAAATTCTACAAGGTGAAATCTCTAACTCGCTCATTAATCCTTTAAAGTTTTCAGAGAAATGCAGTGACATCACCTTCACAGAAGAAGAAAATGAAAACACCTCTGGAGTGACATTTTTCATAGAAACAAGTCAAGGTCAAACATTTTGAGTGGCATACACAAAAAAAAAAAAAAAGTCATGATTTTGGGAAACTTTTCATACAAATGGAAGGCCAGTGACACAGAACAGCACAGACTCACACATTCAGCCTTCTTTTTTCTAGTTATATTGCTTCTTGAATAAAACACCTTTTTTAATCGACCTGTTGGACTTAATTTTTAATTAGAAGAAGTACAGTAGTCCTCGTTTATGCAGGGGATCGATTTTAGTGTGTGT